GATAGCACCCCAAACGATCGGTTCCCCATTGTGCACTTCCCTGCGCTGACCCCCCAGCTGATACGAGTGCCGCCTTCGAGGGTTCACGGCCTGTTTTGAATTCTGACAAAATGCAGGGGAGTGGCAGAGGAAAGGAAAGCTAAGCCTGAAAGATCTTTGGCTCAGGTGGATTTTTGGCTGAACAGGTTGGTGGCTCCAGTCACTGAATATTCGCTGCTTAATGCACAGCAGCTTTCCCTGCTGTCAGCAAGGGTGGGTAGGTGTTGTAGCTGGACTGGCTGGCACCTTTAAGGTTTGGGATTTGGTTTCTTTCTTTCCACTTGAGGTAATTCCCAAAAATCAGAATCTTCCAGCCTTGGATGCAGGCAGGCAGGGTCCTCCCTCCCGCCCTGCCACATCCTGCCTCCCCACCTGAAGTTCTGCCACCGCGGAAACGTTCCTTGGCTTTGTCTTCGTCGTTCCATGCCCAGCACGTGGGGTGTGCACCTTTTTCTTCTGTGTGTTCCCCATCGTGTAGGTGTAAGTTATACAATGTGCAAGTCTGTCATCCGAGTGAGTCAAGGTAATGTCTTTCCTGCACTGGTTTGTTTGGACAAAGGGGTGTTTCTCTTTAACGCTCCCATGAATAGCCTTAAGCACTTGCAGTTTTTAATTTCAGGAGTGGTTCAGTGAAATGAGCTGTCTTTCAGGTAAGCATCCAGCCTTTGTAAATACACTCTTTTTTTTGTCTTTCTTGTAGCAGCCAGTTACTCACTGATGCTCCGAGAAGTGTCTTCTGCTCATGGTGCTCGAGTTCTGCCTTGGCTGGTTTTACCTCGTGGTAAAACTGCTCCCGAGGGGCAGTGGAGAATAAAGTATAACGCATCTCCCTGAGACAGATCAGGTGCCAAGCTGATTCCTGACCTTAAACCATTAAATTCTGTCTTCAGAAACAACAGTAACTTAGAAAAGCCCAAAAGGGCCAATGCTGACTTTTCCAGCAAAATAACCCATTCAGAAATCCAAGGGTATTGCATATTTTTTCCCCTGTGTAATCTGCAGGAAAAGGGGGCATTGCTGTCCTGGTTGCAGTCGGGAATCCCCCGATTCCATCATCCTGCATCTGACAATGCCTGCTATTAGTGCTCCAGGGGCAACTTCAAGCAATGGTTTAGGGAGTGATTATTGGAGAAGGTTATCCTAAATTTCTTCTTAACCTTGTCTGTAAGTTTTTCTTTGTCTTGTAGCTTTGGGTATTACTCAAGAAAAGGTTTTGTCTGCTCCATTGTAACTACCTCATGAAGAACAGTGTTTACTGCTGTTGCTATGACCCATAACATGCATGATAGCAAAGAAAATTCATAGCTGAGGAGTGTATTCTGTGGATAAATGCAGTTTGGTTTTTAAAGTGTCAACGTCCCATTGAATGAGGGTCCCCCCTGTTATTACGTTGTCAAAATGGGAAAGCAGAGACCTGACTTTCCTTTTAAGGATCCAAGGAGAGTTGTCTCCTCGTCTCTTACCCAGAACCCCTGGGATGGGGACGATGTACGTTCACACCAGCCTTTGGTTGCTGCTGCGCGATTCGGCAGTGCTGAGCGCAGCCCCGGATTCTGGTGGAGGGTTTTTGCATGAGCTGGGAGAGGCCGTGGTCTGTTCCCACCTTGGTGTCTTGGAAAAGGAAGATGGCAGTTTTTCCGTCGGTGCAGAAGTGTGGTGGAGAAGATGGACTGATGTTCAGTCCGTGCTGCGATTTATGTGGGGTTTAACAGGAAAGCCGTCAGCTACCTCGGATTTTGTTAACGGCTAGTACTTATGACAGGTTTTTTAAATGATTGTTAGTGGTGCGACTATTGTGGTTTCTTGGTGTGTTCATCCTCAGTACACTGAAGGATTCCCTGCCAAATGTTTTCTTCTGCTTTTTCTGTCACCATTATCAATTTTCTTTTGTTGCTTTGAGTAAACTTGAGTCATCCTCATACTTTGTATGGTTTCTCTGGAGGAAGAGGTGACTAAAATAACAAACTGCCTTACAAAAAGGAGAACTGCAGTATGTAATGTTTCAAATTTGTCTAAGGTGTAACTCAAACCAGGGAATATTACCATTTTGCCGTAACCTCCGTCGAGGAGGCGGTTCCTGTAGAGCGTGAGCAGTATTAACAGAACACAGAAAAAAGGTACAAAGAGACATTTCATAGGATTACATCTGCTTCTTACCTAAAGAAATGTGGATTCCAGGTTTGGTTTTAAGGGCTGTTTCAGTCTGAACAGTATTGTTACAACGCGGTGTAAACCTCGGTGGCATGGTCACTGGCTTTTAGATGTGGCTCACATATTTCTGTGAGGACCAGGCAGTCATGCGTAGTAATTCTTCACATTCCTGACATCTTTTTCATAATCCACTTTTAGGATGATGATAATTGTGATGAATAGGGAGAAAAGATTTTTTTTAATTTTAAATGCCTGCAATTCATGTTTAAATTATTGTTGTAGAATCTAGAGCATCAGTATTTTTTGCAGGTGTCATCCAAATTATATAAATTAAAGCAATTTCAGAAATTCTTTGGTGAGGTTCTCTGCAGGTAAATGAATCCTTTGCTCATCAAAACGAACTTCTAATAACTTCCTGCAGTTTTCTAGGCAGTTTGTAAAATAAAAGCCAGTACTCAAATTCTTATCTCCCTGATTTATGTGTGTTTTTTGGAGTGAGTCTTTAACAATTTTAATAAATTTTTTATTTTTGAGGGTTGGTTTGGGCTTGTCTGGGATTTTTCTTGTAAACTAAAGTAACTGTATAGCAATTGCTAGCAGTCATTGAAGGAAAGAGCCAGTAGTTGCAGTGATTGCATCTGATCTTCCGGTTTTCTCTCGGGTATTACCGGACTTGTGTGACCTTTGAAATCCGGTTAGTGGGTGAAGTTAGTGTAGGATACGTGAAGTTGTAAAACACAAAAGCTAAATAGCCTCTCTGCAGAACAATTCTTAGTATTTTTTTTAAATGCTGTCCTCTGGCAGATTGCCCGAAGCCTGTCTTCCTTTAGCAAGATGGTTTGGGAAGATAGTTTTGTCTCACCGTTCTAAGCTAAATTTATGGTACGCTTATGAGAAGCCTCCGCATGGGTAGTACAAAACCTTTTCCTTCACTGTTATGTTCCGACTACAAGAAGAGTTGGGAAAACCCCTGGGTATTGAAGAAGCTTTCACCATTTTTGTGTAACAAAAATGGGACCTGAAATAATGAAATAATTAAATTAAAATGAAATAATAATTATTTCAACATCCCCCTTCTCAGAAATGGAATATTATTGTAGGGTAGTTTTTGCTAGCAGATATGAGGTAATTTTTGAAGGTATTCCATGAACATGGCACTTAAAGGTCCAGGGAAGCCAGGAGGGGAATGGGTTATTTGGGAGTTATTGGCCTTTTTACATTTTGCAAGAGTTATTTCTACTCATGCCTTAGCTTGGCTGAACAAAGTGATGGATTATCTATCTTCTGTGAATGAAATTGAGGACACACTGATTGTAGAATAATCTTGGGTCCTGTTTCTATAAGGAAGAAGAGTTTCTTCTAAAAAGATCTTGTTACTTTCCAACTGGAGGTTGTATACCTTTTCCTGCAGTTTGTCCTTTCCTCTTGCAGTCGCATGCTACTTCAGGGCTTTCTAATCACTAATATGTTAAGAGTTTGGTGTGAGGAACATCTTGGCATGGTTGCATGACATGAGAGTAACAGCTAACATGTGCTCCTCCCGTTTAGAACTGACGTTTTGCCAAGTAGTGACGTTTCGGGGAGAAAATTAATAATCACTTGGCAAAATGCTGCCTTTACGTGGAATAAACCTTGCAGGTGAACGAAAAAAATCACGTAATTCTTGAAAAAGCAGTAGGCAATAGACTTCAATTTCTGAGAAGTGCAGGGGACAGATTACCCCGGCACAAGCGCTGTGTTACTGCTGGCTACAGGCGACGCGAGCTGAGCCCACCAGCAGTCTCACAGCTGAGTCGTATCGATTTTTGTAGGGACCTGTGCAGCCTCTGCAGGGCTCGGGGGGGGATTATAAGATGTAAGAGGAGTAAGCACAGCGGAGCAGCTGCTGTCTCTGGCTCCGGGGGCAGAGAAAGAAGCTATTGATTGTACACTTTGCTTTGTCAGACATCACCCCAGTGCAGTTATTCCAGCTTTCGGGGATATCCACTTCGTGATCCTCCACCGTATGGATGATGCCTTGCTTTGCCCGTTGCCTGGTTTTAGTCAACCCTTGTTTTTTTTATGCTGTGATCATTAATAAGATGCTTTGCTGGGTTTGCTGGTTTGACGTTGGCATGCTAACCTCATGTCCCTTGTCTGCCTGCACCGTGTGCTTGGGGCACTTCAGAGCAGGGCTTCCTACTTTCCCATCTTTCTATAATATTCAGCACAACGTGAACCGAGGCCTCTGGATGATGTTTAATAGCCATGACCCTGGATGGATCTGACAGGGTGTTCTCACCAAGGAAGGACCTGGGAGCAGGCCTTCTCCTGCAGGACAAGCCGTTAACTGCCGTCAGTCTGAGCGAAGAGCAAACTAAAATCCAGCCTCATCCTTTAAACCTCGCCCTGTCCTTCCCTATGACATGCCCGTCCAAACTGGCAACTGTAGGAGTGAGATCCCTGCGAGATCCTCCTCAGCACCAGCCCACACATCCCCCTCCCGCAGCCCACATGACTGGCGCGGGAGGAGGCCGCGCTGGCCACGGCCCTGTTAAGGATGGCTGGGCAGAGAGCCCGGCTGCCAGATCCAACCTCAGGCTGGGGCTCGGAGACGCCAGTCCGTTACGTGGCGATGGCAACGCAGCTTTAGGTCAGCCAAGGTCGCCCTCGAGGCATTTCTGAAATCACTTCTCCTGGCTGTGGTTAGATGAGTAGGGTGTGCAGATACTTTGAAGTCGCTGGGGTTAGCGAGTGTGGGTGAACATGAAGATCTTGGTGCGCTGTTTGCTGATGGCTTGGGGGTGTGTTCTTTCTTTCTTTTCCTTTAGGATGAACGTGAAGCCAGAGAAAATGTGAAAAGGGAGCAGGACGAAGCGTACCGCATCTCACTGGAGGCTGACAGAGCGAAGGTGTGTGCAGGCTGAAGTGATCACGTGAATGTCAGGACGGGAATCCCCCTGGTGCGGAGGACTCTGCCCGACCTCAGTGCTGCCTTTCAGACGAGGCGGCTGCTGTAGGAGCTGCAGTTGCCTCAGTGGCACTAGATACAGTCACCTGGAGCACCTAGACCTGACTGCATCTTTTTGCTGAAGCAGTCCTGGCCCCACTTATCAGTTGAAATTGGGAAAGGAATGATTGGAAAAGACTATTTAATAAATGTCCTATTTCTTACATTAATTTCTGCAGAGAAGTTGAGCGGTTTCTTTGCTGTTACCGAGCTAATGCACACCATTAACCACATCTCTGGGAAGCGAGGCCATACATGTGTGATTTCTCTTTGTCTCTATTAGAGGGAAGCGCAAGAGAGAGAAATGGCAGAGCAGTTTCGCTTGGAACAGATTCGGAAAGAACAGGAGGAAGAACGTGAGGTGAGATGTTTTACCTTTTCTGACAACTTTTGGGTTCACGAAGGTTACGGACATCGCAACTTTCACTCAAAGTGCACTTTTTATGTGAACATCAGTTTTTATTAACTAATTTCTTACCATGCATATGAAAAACATAGTGCTTTTATGTTCTCTCACCTGGGTCTGCGTTACAGCAGACACGAGACAGGCCTATTGACAGGAGACCCGTGAAACGAGCTCCAGAAACGGTGGAGTCTCCGGGAACCTCTAGCCTTGCTTCTGCAGGCACTCAGCCCTTTCATTGCTTCCCGGAAGTAACACAAAGCCTGGTTGCAGTTCTGATCAAGCAAATTGCCAAATTCAATCTGGGAGATAACACACTTAAAAAAAAAAAAAAAAAAAAACAACCTCTAGAAAATGGGATTTATGGTACATTTTTAAATTTCTGAACAGCCCTCTACAGAATCTTCCTTAGAAGTAAAATCATGTTTAAACAAACACTTGACATCCCTAGGCCTATAGAAGAAAATAGAAACCATGTGCTGTGAAGAGAACTGTTCCCCAAACCCTGTTATTTTGGAGATTCTCCTGATTTTGTAGATTCTGAGTGTCCCAGTGCCCGTCAGAGCCAGCTCTTGCAGCCTCGTTCAGGATCTGGGCTGGCGCCGGTCCTAGCTGTGTGTCTAGGAATTTACCTAAGGCATCCTGTACCCAATTTTACTTCTATTATTGACCTGCTCTCTGTCACCTCCCGGCAAACACAAAATATGGTGAAAAGGCTGGGGTGCAGCCATGTTTCTTCCCCTGAAGACCACGCATGTGTCAAAGGATGATAAAATAGCCTACTCATTAAAATATTTCCATCTGTTCTGTGAAGTTCTTGAAATACAAGTCCTTACAGAAGCGCTGTGAAACAGTCGATTCTTGAAAAAGACTTTGAAACCCTTGAATATCATTTTCAAGGTAAAAGTGATACGCACATAAATGTCTTCATTGGAATGACAGTTGACTGGGGGTCGTCCTTCTGGGCATGTAAGATTCTGTGAGGAAGCTGGTAATGACTACAGGGTGGTGTCACCATCCCTGTTGAATTATCTATTTCCTGACCACGTTTCCAGTATTATATCAAATATAAATAAAAAAGAAATATTAAAAATATTTATTCATTTATATGAAATAGCAGAGTTCCAGTACTTTTGGTGGACTTAACCATGACTTCTTTGCTTTAACTCTCATGGATTACAGGGGTTTGAAATTTGGAATTAGGTTCTTATTTAATTGTACACTGAGTGGAAGCCCTTGGAACTCATGGAATCCTGAGAACTGTGTCCAGAATAATTGTCATACGGCCGCTCGGAGGGGTTAATAGCAGTTGAAGAGAAGTCGGGGCTGCAGCAGTCGCAGACATTGAGCTGTCGGCTCACACCCAGATTCCAGTAGGAAATACGGTTTTCTTTTTTAAGGCAATTTTGCCTGCATAGAAACAATAATTAATTCTGCTGTATTATGTCTGCTCCTGAACCTTCTCTGATACTTTGGCCTTTTGGAAATTGTTTTCTTACGGAGAGGCTGAAAGACTGGTCTACGTTATCAAAATATACCTGGGCTTCCCTGTTTTGATGTAGAGCACGGTCATGAAAATAATGGGCTCTGTTTGCTTAGTAGAACAAAAGGGATTTTAACAGTAATGTTTACTAACCCGCCCCGTTTTCAAGTATACAGATTACTTATACTGCATTGTTCTGCAACAGTGTTTACTTACAGAGGCGGCTTGATGTTCAGTTCGTATATTTGAAATCTGACTATTGAGCTACTCACATACTGAACATCTTTTTATCAACAAACTGGAATTGCTTGTTCAGGTCCGAGAGCTGTTAATGTGATCCATCACATCGTCGTTTTCTGGCGGGGGGTGCTGGTACAGAATATCCACTGTAAATTGCCATTTTAGGCTGCAGCCGTGGAGACTAGTTGCTTTGGGGAGCGACGCACTCTTTGCACAAAGAGAAGAGCTCTAATGAGCTACTGTTGTTTATTTTTCTATAATATAATTGATTGGGTTCAGTAAATAATGTAGCATCTGTTGTTATACTGTGTGGGGAAATGTCAAAACAGAAAGATAGTAAGCAGGTGGTTGAGGATGGAGAGGGAGAAAATTAAAATAGAATCTATTTAAAATATAATCTCTTAGTAGATGAGCAAAAATGAACTCGAGTTCTATGTATAAATATTTATACTGAGATATCATTTGCTCCGAGGTTTGTGTGTAAGAAGTAGACTGTTTTAAACCCTCTGCAATCTTGCCCAGTCCTTTCCCTTGATGTGATCGTCCTCCATCAGTTTCGGTCACTAAGTGACCTTGGGGAGGTGTTCAGAGGCACAAATAGCAACTGTGTGACTTCCAGGTTCCTTGAGACCCTGGGTAAATCCGTGCCTGACTGCCTCTTCGGTTCGGAAAATTGTCTTCTGGGCAGATTTTGGTGGAGGCAGTGGGACCGTGCTGCTGCTTCCATTCACGGACATTCTCCTTAACGGCTGCCTGAGGGGACAGTGTGACAGCGCTGCGTCCGAAGGATGGTCTGACTTTGAACGGATGCCAGTGCCTGTCCCTGAGTACCGACAGCACTCGGTGCCCTCAGAAATCAAGCCCACCTCGTTCAGCAGCCTAATATCAGGCATCAATTTAAAAAAAACCTTCTGACCAAAGCATTAAGGGGGTGGTGGCTCCCGGAGGCAGAGGGCCGAGCGCACAGATTTGGCTCCTCTCCTTAAAATCTTGATGTTAGCAGGAAGACGGTCAGACATGGAACGTTATTGCTGTTTTGGGGCCGATTTCATGCAGAAAATGTGCACACCTGTGCTTGGAACCATCTTCCTGCAAATAATAGTAACTGCCTGCATGAAATCGTAAAGCTCCCATTCCTGTCCTCCCAGTTTTCTTCTTTGGCCATTCCTACTTTTCCATGTACTCTGTGTATCTGACGTACCTCCGTGATATTTTTCATTATGTCTTTTAACAGTGTTTTGGTTTATTTAGAGTCGGTCTCCTGTGTACATTTCTTTTTACTCTCGGCAACCGCTGAGGCTCGGGTCTTGGCTGCACGTGGTCCGTTACTCTGTGGAGGAGGAAGGCACCTTGACAAGTGCATTTGAAGAAATACTTTTACTGCCTTCTAATTTATACCCTTTAAGGAAGCAATTGGCCACTTGACAATTATTCTGTCATTCAGATTTTTTCCAAGGCTTTCTGCCAAATGATTAAATTACTTATCCCCATCGTGCATTAACTGTAGACCTAATAATATGTGTTATAAAGAAGGATTTATTTTAATTAGTTGTCTGGTGGGCTGTTATTAAGGAGTGAATAAAAATGATTTTGTCATTGAGACGTAGAACACAGCTATGGCTCTGGAGCACTGTGGCGCTTCTTGAAGTTCTAGAAGAAATAAATAGAAACGCCTTCTGGCCTTTTCTTCCACTGCTAGCGTTGCAACCTAAACGGTTATTTTTCCTTCCTTAGGCTATCAGGCTCTCTCTCGAGCAATCTTTGCCTCCCGAACCGAAGGAGGAGAGCACCGAGTCCGTCAGTAAACTGCGCATTCGGACGCCCAGCGGAGAATTCTTTGAGCGACGTTTCCTGGCCAGCAGCAAGCTGCAGGTTGTCTTTGATTTTGTAGCTTCCAAGGGATATCCCTGGGAGGAGTACAAGCTGCTGGGCACCTTTCCGAGGAGAGATGTGAGTAAATGTACCTTTCAGGAATATGTACCACTACTTCTTGCTCCCGTGTGTTGGATAACAGTGTGATACAGCATAGAAGGTACATGATACGTCCGAGCGTGAGCGTGCTGTCAGCAAGCCAGGTGCCACCCCGCCAGCATACAGAGCAGGTGTTGCATACAGAACTGCCTTGAGAAATCTGTTTGCGGTGACACTGTAAAAAATCCTCTGTTTCTGAAACAAACAAGCTGTGGGCTGTATTCAGTGAAAACTGCCCAAGTACGCACGGCCAGTGTCGCTCACGTCCTGTGCTGAAGGAAGCCACGTCGACGTTGGTACGCTGCCTGGGTCTGTTATGGGCTGGTACTTCTGCTCTTCCCGGTTGTGCTGTTTTGGTGCAATGTCACGTTCTGAGCAAGGCAGGCCCCGTGTCAGACAGTATTCAGTTATGAGGTCATCAGTACTTTCTAATAAATTATTCATTGACCTGTTACCTAATACCAGTAAATAATCATCTCTATCTCCTACCTCGAAATTCTAGCGCTGTACCCACTGTCACCGCTTCTCAAAATCAATACTGCTTACAAAAGTCAATTAGATTCTGTTGATCTACCAACAGATGTTTGTGTGCTGGTTACTGAGTTTCTCTGAAAATACACCTCTGTGTTTCCTGCTCTATTACAAATGGACTTTCATCTCTTCCTTGGCTGTTGTTACAGCAAAGCTGGAAGTCAGTGGGTCCAGCTGTGCAGGAATTGCCTGGAGCCCCACATAAACGGCGGAGGCACCAGGCGGCACAGACGGCAGTGCCGAGCTGAGCAGCGCTGGGTGAAGTTCAGCACCCCTTGGCCGTACGGCTGCAGTGCTGCAGCTGAGTTGAGGCAGCTCTGGATCAGCATCTGGGGCGTCTCCAGCTGACTGGTTAAGCCATTTTTCATCCAAGGAGCTCGATAACTCCAGTTGCATTTCCATTTTGTTTCTCATCGCTGCCCCTGGAGGAGGGCTCTGATTGGCGTGTTTACAGTGCTGGTTTGTGACAGATACCTCTTGTTTTGTCATTTGTAAGTGCTCCATCGGGTCACAAGTACTCCAAAGCGGACGACCTTGTGGGTGGATGTGATTCCTGACCGGTTTTTGGCATAACTCTGTGAACAGGATGGTAGTGCTTACAGCTTTTCTCCCACCTTGCCTTATAATGAGAATCCTAATCAGTCAGACTGAAAAGCAGCATTTAAGGAATCTCATTAATCACTAATTAACTTTACTCCTTAAGCATGTAATATCATTTCCAGCAGAAGCAAAGGCTACGAGTCAGATTGCTGGTAGTTCAGTTTACCTGACAGAAGGAAAACAATCTTTTATAGCCTAAACAATGTTTTTGTTTATTTTAAATATTCTGCAGGTCGTAGCTGCCTACCTGTAACATATTTACGTCTTAGTACATATTTAATATAAAAAAACCTACAAGTATATTACTCTAACTTTCTGCATTGGTCTTGTGGTCTTGACTGGTTGTTTCTGCGCTTAATCGCATCAGCGCCATTGTTAATTTTAGTACTCTGTAACAAACTCAAAAATCTCTCTGATGACTCACATAAGAACAAATTTTTTTAAAAAAGGAGTGGAAAAGAAAGCAGACCACTAAATTAGAACAGGCTGGTATTTTCAGTACATTCGGGAAACTGCCAGGGAGAGATGCTGAGGCAAAGACAGGAGACTGTGATGGCAGGATACGGAGCCGTTGGTCTGTTGTGTGGGAAGCAAAGACCCTGTCATCTTTTTTCTGTGATTCCAACCTAATAATGCCATGTATGAGGAGTCACATAAATGATTCATGCCCATTGACTCAGTGGCTGTGTATGAATCCGGTTGCCATTGTGACCACCAGAGCTACAACAGACGAAAACCAATCCCCAGGGGTTTGCGAACCATCGGGAACTATAAATGACATCTGCCACGTTCCCCCGGTTTGCAAAGCTGGAAGTGTGCAACTCCGTAGTCAGACTTGGAAAAAAAGAAGTTACCGATGAATGCCTTGGAAGTAGGATAAAAGTACCTTCCCCGCCCCAGGGTAAAAGTACACCTTCCCTGCCCTAGGTTCTGTGGTACGTAGTCTCTTAAAAATACACCGCAAGGTGTCAAGAGCCTTCTGCTCTGTGATACGTATCCCAAACACACATTGAAATCCGTGCAGCAAGAGCAGAGCGCTTGGGTTGTGCTTCCAGCAAACAGCAGCATTTAAAATGCCTGTTTGTATTTACACTACACATAACATTTTTGAAAAAAAATACGTTTGAAAGTATCGGAGTTACTTCGCTGGAGTTTTTGCTGCCATAAGACGAAAAGGTGTCTTCCCAAGTTGGTATTTTTGTCTCCCATCCTAATCTGCTTACAGTAACATACACACCTCCAAAAGTGTTTCTGTCTTGTTGAAATGAGGGAATTAACTTCAACCAAATAATAAACTTGTTAGAGTGTTTTTACCTGCTTTTCAAAGCCATCAGCCCTGACACAGTGTTGTTGAAGTATTTTTACTTCTTTGGTAAATAAAAATTCATTAGTTCTTAGTTCTATGTTCCCGTTGCTTACACAGATATCCTTAGCTAACTTAAAGTTGGTATCATAACCCTACTGTAAATACAAACTTCTACACGTGAGTAAATACACAGATTAACCTTTTCCAGACACTACTTGTAGATTTTAAAGCAGCAGTGACATTCCAAAGCAGGTAAGCACATGCGGCGACTTGTTATTGGGTCTTTGTCACCAACCGTGGTGTTCTTTCTGCTAGGGCTGAAATTAGGTATTAACTACCTCCTCTCCCAGTGCCGTACCCCAGGCAGCGCCGCGGACCGCTCCAACGGGCGGGTGTCACACGGGTGAGCCTGAGTCGGCGGGTGGCTTGTCCCTCTAACGTGTGGCAAGCACGTCTTCCGGAGCGGAAAGCTGTATGGTACCTTCTTTGCGTACCTCTGAAACGCACCCGCAAAGGCTGTATGGAAGCAAATGCGCGCGCCGTTTAAACATGTGCCCATTTTGGAATTGCAGTTCCTTGCAAGAATTGCTCTGATCTTCGAAATGCGCGTAACTAACAAAAAGAGCTCGCTCTCAGCGTTTTAGCATGCTCAGTCAACCTTTTCGCTCAGTATTTCTTAAGTCCCTTTCTCTTAAAAGGCTCCCCAAGCACTGGTTTGGGTCGTCCTCTCGATCTGCCAGCTGCAACATTCTCCTCCTCCTGGTAGCCTGAGGCCTTCCTGGATGATCAGTTCCTCACTTCCTTCTGTGGGGGAGGGCTGCAGAAGTCTTCCTGAAACTCTCTAACCCTCACGGACCGGGCATTTCCCCACCCCTCAGGCTGGAGGTGCACCGCATCCGGCTGAAGCTGTAGGAGGGATGTGCAGAACAAATCTACCCAGAGGGGCCTCGGCCACCCTGGTGGGGTTGGTGATACCTTGGTGATGGTAGCTGTCAAAGCCAGGTCCTGCACCCTCCCTCTTTTGACAGACTGTTTTCAAAAGACTGCGTTTATGAAGTTCTTCTGAAAAATCAAGATTGCAATCCTCAATTTCTTCTGCTCATTTCCCCTTAAGGTGGAGCACCAGTTATGTATTTGAGAGTTTGCCTTTTGCAGGCACGGTATTAGGGACTTAAGCTCTTTATTTACTGTATCTGGAGGCCCTGGTAAGCCAAGACTTCTACAGTATTTCACATTTTATTTTTCTGAGCCACAGCTTAGGATCAGGTGGCAGCTAAGTCACTTAAGGTTATTTAAATGCATCTAAAATGTTGCTTAATAATTCAGAACCAGTTTTCTCTGTTTAGAGTATTAAGATTTTTTAAACCCTTTTAATTAACCAATTTCAACAGCAGTTTAAATAAACAGAAACAAAAAATCTGTCTCCTTTGAAAAGGCAGAAAATAAATTTAACTCAGATTGCATGTCAGTTTAAATTAGGTAAGACCAGGGTTTCAGTAAATTTAGGGCCAGACGATTCTTAATATTATATGGCAGTATAGAGTAAGATACTCCTCCAAACCCCAACGTGATCATTTGTTCCTGTGCTCTGGCAGGAGTAATCCTCCGGGGCACCCACAGTGGTGACGACAACGCGGCAGGATGGCAAGCTGAGCTGCAGCACTCGGCTCACGTCATCCTGCCTGAGCAGGTAACTGCCCTCTGTGTTCCCGGAAAGGTAATGCCAGAGCGTGACCCCCACGCTGCTATGCCAGGTAGTGTGGGAATGCGGTGTATCGGTTCTAGGAGCCATTCTCTGTGAGGGTCATTCTGCATCCCACCCAGTGCACACTACTTCCTCAAAGAACCTACTTTTAAACTCATTAGGTGGTGTTTAAACTCTTTAAATGGTTCATGGGATAGTTACATGTTCAGGACCATCTCTGGCTTTTAACATTCCTTCCCCTAATCATCGTCTTGGGAAGGATGGAAGAATGATGTCACCGTGAGAAAGGATCCATGCAGTGTCACGGTTATACCCAATAGCACTCTTAATAACTTCACATAAATCAGGAACGTAGCTTGCATATCTGTCCTGTGGCAGAGGAGGATTTCAGATGAATGACGTATTTTTCCGATATGGTCAAAAAATTTGAGAATGTTTTTATAAGTTCAAGGAAAATTTAACATGTGATCCATGCAATTTTTCCAGTCATTTCAGTTGCTGATGGTTGCGTTTCCTACTACATAAAGTAATGCTCATCTGTTATTTCAGGTCAACATAGACCTGGTAGTGGCATGTGTTATCAGCTCTGATCTAGTTTACATAAGGCCACAGCCACCTACATCCCTCCTCTTGTCACCTACAGCTGTCCTGAAGTCAATAGTACCTGCCCTTGTCCTTCCTCCCTTTTCAGGATACACTGTTTTATTTATACAAGCAGTTAGGTTTGGTTTTGTTAAGACACTCAGAAGTTGCCTGAGCAGGTTGGCCTTACCAGACTAGGATGTCCCATGCCTCCCACAGAAACACTGTGATCGTTCTTCCTGATGACTCGTCACA